GGGGCGCCTAAGTTGTAGAATGCATTGCCCCTTTATATTAGACAGGCCCCCTCGTTGTCCACTTTTAAAACCTATTTGAAGACTCGTCTGTACCGTCTGGCGTTCGAACCAGTATGAGCCTGTGTCTTATAGAGCTTGTGATTTATGATGGTGAGTTGTTTTAAGTATGATGCTTTTGTTTTGCTGTTTGTTTATGTGGTTTTTTAAAGGGTGTTGTGGATATTGTGTTAAGCACTTTGGTCAGCTTCAGCTGTGTTAAATGTGCTATATAAAAAAAGTTGATAATGATGATGAGACATCGACTCAGTGATAAACACCACTAGGATCTACAGCCAGGACATCAGAATGTCATTCAGACTGGATAAGTCTGGTCAAATGGTAACAAGGAGAGGGAAGGTAGTCAGAACTGAGGGGATTGTACTACCAGAAGGCAACATAGCAGATGTTGAGGACAGCTACAAGTACCTTGGGATCCCACAGGCAAATGAGGACCATGAAGAGGCCACAAGGAAAGCAGCAACTACCAAGTACCTGCAGAGAGTAAGGCAAGTCCTGAGAAGTCAGCTGAATGAAAAGAACAAAGTCTGCACATTTAACATCTATGCCCTGCCGGTCGTCAGGTACCCCGCTGGCATAATAAGCTGGCCAAAGGAGATAGAGACCACTGACATCAAGACAAGGAAGCTCCTTACAATGCACCCCAAGTTTCACCCTAAGTCCAGCATCCTCAGACTGTACACTAAGCAGAAGGAAGGAGGCCGAGGATTAGTGAGCGTCAGAGCCACTATCCAGGATGAAACAACAAAGATCCATGAATACATCAGGAAGATGGCCCCGAGTGATGACGTGCTTAGTGAATACCTCAGGCAGCAGAAACCAGAGGAACAAGGGAAGGAAGAGCTGGAACCCTCATGGAAGGACAAACCTCTGCACGGTATGTACCACCATCAAATAGTAGAAGTGGCTGATATAAAAAAAAATCCTACCAGTGGCTGGGCAAAGCTAGACTGAAAGACAGCACAGAGGCACTCATCCTGGCAGCACAGGAACAGGCTCTAAGTACAAGATCAATAGAGGCCAGGGTCTACCATACTAGGCAGGACCCCAGCTGCAGGCTGTGCAGAGATGCCCCTGAGACAATCCAGCAAATAACAGTGGGTTGCAAGATGCTAGCAGGCAGGGCATACATGGAACGCCATAACCAAGTGGCTAGCATAGTGTACAGAAACATCTGTGCTGAGTACAGGCTGGAAGTCCCAAAGTCAAAATGGGATGAACTTCCAAAGGTGGTTGAGAATGACCAAGCTAAGATCCTGTGGGACTTCCAGATACAAACTGACAAACTGGTAATGGCCAACCAACCAGACATAGTAGTGGTGGACAAACAGAAGAAGAAGGCCGTAGTGATAGATGTAGCAATCCCAAGCGATAGCAACATCAG